CGGACAACGATCCAGTTTAGTTTGATATTTTTTCTTATATGTAAAAAGGTTCAACGAATTTGAAATGTGTGGTAGCACTTATCCTCCTCCTAAATCGATTCCTACCTCTCTAATACGGTTAAAAAAAAAAAAAAGACAATAGCTAACCGAAAATTTGGATCATATTGTACATAGAAGTGAAACGAAGTCGCAAGGCAAATATTAATAGATATTTTCGGATTTAAATGTCGGTATAATCAAAATTTATAGGAATTACATACGAAAGTAATGAAGGATCACCGAAAACATTTTCTAAAATAAAATAACCGCAATGTAAACCATGAGTTAGTGTACAGATAACATGTTATAGCTAAACTATATGATAAAAAAAACTATATGCTTAATTTTATTAAGCAAGTAAACAAAATATCACATAATTATGTTTTGGAAGAATCGGAAACCATATATGTTTGAGTAATCAAATGAGCCCGTTTATAAGCCCATTTAAAGACTTTACTTGCCATCTCTACACGGTGTTAAAGAATAAATGTGTAGTGCCATGTTAATATTGTTGAACCCCAAATCAACGTCGAGATAATAAAATGTCGGACCATTTCATCACAACCAATTCGTGTCATCTCAAATAAATTAAAGGGCTAAATGATACGTGGCCATCAAACATTTGTATCTGTTATCTATCATTATCACAGAGCGACACTGTAGTCCAACAGCAGGATTTAAAAGCACATAGTGACATAACACAGTTTTACCAATTACTTTGAAAGAATTACAATGAAAAGTAAATTACATCGTTATAATACGTACTATGAAGCTAGTAGTCTTCTCGATAAATTTTCTGCATATCCACTATTGATGCCTAGAACTATTCGAAAATAATCGGTATATTCTTTTTTTTGGTCATCGCAATTTTTAATTTATTTGTAACACCCTAAATGGAGAGCGTAGTAACAACACGTCAACAACAAATAATATGGAAAACACGAATGAAAAAACAAAATATAGCTAACTCACTGTGTTAAATAGTTTAAGGATTAATTTTGATATTTCAAGACTAAAATTCAAGTTCTTTCACTGTAATTTCCAAATCATAGTTTGCAATTATGAACTTTCAAATGAATAGAAATATTGAAACTTTCACAAGTTCGAAGGTGAGCCTGAACTTCGAATTTGGATGCTTCCACTATATGGACTAAAAATTCGGTATTTGAATTCGTGGCCCACGCACTTTCACAGCCCAACGTTAAACATTCTTTTTCAACAGTGTTTTGTCCCTTTATTGGTAAAAAATACCTGTTACCTCCCTACATTTGTATTTTCTCCAACCGACTGAACTTAATTTTATTGATATCATGTTTACAACATAGTTCCTTTACAACCTTTTTAAGAAATGACCCTTTGTTCTTTGCTAATGTAGCACACAAAAACTATTCCCATGGAACAATTATCATGTTTTTTTTGCCGAACCAACAGTCATCTGTTATTTAGATAAGCATATAATACATATATATTTTTGATATTTAATTTTCTGCATAGTCTACAGCAGCAAGATAAACCAAATTCCTTTTCTATATAAGCAACACAAGACAATCACACGAGATAATAAAAAATAAACACGAACAAATAAAAACTAAAAAGAACGTAAAATCCAACAAGATATACAAAAAATATATGAAGGCTTTTAAACACAGTTAGTTTCGGTCAAAACCTGAACCATTGTCTGCATAACTTTCACTTTCATTTCCAAAGCCAAGATATAATCTGCCGTTTGTCTAAAGAGTCCATCTAAACCTTCTGATGTTTTGGTGTTGGGAACAAGCTCTTTTAGCGTCTTCACTCGTCTGTGTATTGCGCGACAAGGTCTTCTAGAAGCTTCTACACTCTTCCTTGGTCGGATCATGATCTTCTTCACAAGTGCCCTTCGAGCCCTTTGTCTTCTCATCAAAACCCAAATTGATTCCTTTCTTTGTCCTTCTAATGTTACACCCATATTATTATTGTAAATGAAAGAATGTTGTGTAGACAAGTGATAACGTTTGCTTACAAGATTAGATGCAAATATATATGAGAGTATGAGACGCCCTTAGTTTATATAGACATACATAGAGGTCAGTGACCTTTATATATAGCTTAAAATGGAGATTACAGCTTCTGAGAAGGTTCTCCTTTTATCTCTCAAAAGAATTGGATGAGAATTTGACAAGTGTCCACAAGGGTGTTTTAAATGTTGTTTTTGATGGATAATTAGGGTTTAGCTTAAATCAGAGGACATGTCATCAAAATACAACTCGATGCACATGCACTCACATGATTATCATCACTACCCAACTCTCTTACATGCTTAATAACACCAACTTTCTTCCCATTCACATCACCTTAAACACCCTGTCTTATTCCTCCTTTGTTGCGCTTTATCCATTTTTTCATTTTATTTTATTTTACTTTCGCAGCCAATTTGTTCTGAGATTAACAAAGTCGGGCGGATTGAAGCAAACCAAAAAAAAAAAGTCAGGCATTAACGAAGAATATAATTATCTTTATGCCATTATCTTTCTAGATTAATTCTTAATCTAATTTATAAGCATGCAATCAGTGTATTAAGACGCTAGCGATTGAAATAGACAGATATATAGGTTGATAAGATGAAAAAGAAAATATTCATATTATGCCGCGCGCGTTAGCAAAAGTCAAAACAACTATCGAAAAATTATCTTATTTTATATTTCTCCCAAAATTTTGGTCTGATTCGTAAACTAATTTAGAAACATACAATATATTAGTGTTTGAGTTTCGCTACAATGTATATAGTTTGAATTGATCACCACTGTCGACGGAGATGATAGATAAAATATGACTATTTGGTTGTCATAATGCTTTTGCTTTTATCAAGTCGTTATATATCTCATTATTTCCAGCTGATATAACCCGGCGCAACTAATTAAGAAATATGAATAACCTAATGATATAACAAAAGCATTTCTAGGTGTTTTATTTTTTTGGACAAAGTAGATAACGATGTTGGATAATGGGATAAGGTCTTAATATAAAAAGACACAAGAACATGCAGTGATCTTCTGTGTTCCTTTGAATTTATGGACTTTCGTATTTAGGATTTTTATTTTAGTGAGTGGATTTGATTGAAGCACCTTAAAAGATTATGTTCTTTCTCGTCATGTGTTTATTTTTAAGAAAAGAAAAAGAAAAGCAGATTCGTGGAGCGATGTTGATCAAACATCCTCGGAGACTATAGATTCAATGTATATCTCCCATCGCCGTCAACACGAAACATTGTACTTACAAATTCTCTTAGACATATATGTACGTCTCTGATAATTGAGATATATAAATTGATCATTAAATGAGAATTAGCTTAACATTCGCATATGATTGATCAGTGTATGTCTATATTTTATAGGTTTCAAGGTAACGTGAAAAGTACCTAACTAATTAAGGTAGGTTTATACATATAATAAGTAGCCATAATGGAGTGTTTAGTGGTCGAAATTGATCGCTTGTTAGCAGCACGTTGTATGTATATTAGCTTAACGTGCATGCACATGTTCTTATATCCTCCCTATTCGTCTAGGCCACCCAACACATCTATATCCCAATTCACAATTTTTTTTATATATTTTTTATTACCAGAAAATTATTAATGTTTCGGAAAGTATGATCGAGTAATTATCTTATGTATAATTTTTACGAAATTTCCTTTGTTAATATCATAATAGTTGTTTTAACCAGAAAATGGTATATATATATATATATATCAGAAAAAAGTAAAACAATAAGAAAATCATATCAGCAGAATCTATTATATGTTGAATGTTCTGTCTTCCAATAAATGATACAAAAATAAATCTTAAACTAGGATTTAACCCGTGGTACACCACGGGGCAAATATTTTATATATATATAAAATAATATAAATTTTACGGTTTTAGTTTAGTATTAAAGTTATATAATTTTATATTAATGTTGTAACTAAAAAAATTGGTGATGATAAAATAATAAAATAAATATTTAACATGTGTTATATCAATCTAAACCCGTCCTGCTATTCATATCAATCTAAATCCGTCCCGATATATTTTTTGTCTCATGATTTTCTAATTTTTTATAAGTTTAAATATTAGTTGTTGAATTAGTTGTGATTGTGATTTTATGCCGAAAAAGTTATGGACTTTTAATTTTATGGAATATTCAAACCAAGATAAGGAATGTTTTTAGGTGCTCATATAATTGGGTTTGCTCATTTTACGGGATTGTAAATGTATTTTGGTTTGTTTCACAATGTTTGTTTTAATTGATTGCCGAAATTTAATAGAAATAATTCAAATAGTTCAAATTTTGGTTGTTTTAAGATTTAGTGAATATTGTAGGTGAGATAAGGAGAAGATAATTTATCGTGTTTTGCGTGACATATGGGATTGCCATATATTTCGAATATTTTTGGTTTATTACACAATTAATTGCCTTAAAAAATAAAACTATTAATTAAAAAAAATCAAATAATTAAAATCCAGTGGCAACCATTGTAAATAAGTCCCAACTCCATGATTTATTTCACAAAATGGCTGTCAAAAATGTATATATAGATTTAGAAATAAAAAAATGGACCAAATAAAAAGCTCAAAATTTTATGATAAAAAAAACTAAAAGATCAACCAATATTAAGAAAATATATTTAGTAATAATACTATACTATAATATATAGCTATGATAGTTTAGTTTAATTAACGGCACTGTATTTTAACTATTATTGATTTGGCCCATAATTAAAATACTTATTGGGCTAGAGGCAGGAATAACAGTTGGGGCTAAGCCCATTAATACTAGTGGGTTTAATTTGGCCCTTTAACTTAAATGCTGTGATCCATAAACTGATATATGGTTAAACTGTACGACGATACAGATTATTTAGGTCTCTCTTCTTCTTCTTCTTGAGCGCCGGCGAAAAAAGTCTCTGTGAGAAAAAGATACGACGATTGTCATTAGAAGAGTCGTATTACATGTTTTGTGCTTGAATCTAATTCAACAGGCTTTATGTAAGAGATTCTTTAACAATTCCTATAATCTTTGTTGTTGGATTAGATTCACGCACAAACTCGTAATCTGTCTTTTCGATTTTTACCAGATCTGTCTTCGATTTCGAATCGATCTCTTTTGATTTTGGTGATTTTAAGATTTAGATGTTGCTTTAATTTGGGAATCGTAAACAAGATCTACATGTCTACTTTTGGAATCATTCCCTTGCGTTGATGATTCTATCGTTTTCTATTTCCAAATTTGGTATTACCTATGTTTGGTATGAATCTCGATTCGAGAGCCCGACAAAAAGTTATCACTCTGTTTATTTATGCATATTAAAGTTTTCAAGCACTCATTTCCTAATTGTCTTGCTTAATTATGCTTTCTTAAGACTTTCAAAGACTTTACTTGAGTTACTGGATTTGATTGATGCAAACGACTTGTCGTTAATCCATTTATGTCTGTGTATTAATGTCTGGAATCATATGACAGTTGTTGTTATTGCTTTAGCATTTTCTTACGATCCACTGGTAAAGAGAATCTCTTTCTCATAGTCCTGTTCTACGTTCTTTGTTGGTTTGTTTGTCCGAGAAAGTAGATCAAAATCTTGTGTAAAAATATTGTGACCAAATTAAACTTAAGCATCTTTAAGTCACTCTGATTGTGGGGTGTGTCTACTATTAACATTTACTAAGTCAAGATATTTACTTGTATAATTTAAAGATTTTATATCTGATTTCAATTAATTTTCTTATAACAAATACCAAGGAACTCTTACTTCTTGAGCCAGGTGGTTTGGGAATACTCAATGGTAGATCAGAATTTTTTCATGTCTTTATGGATTTACTACACTACATGAACAATAATGTTACTAGCGAGAAACGTAAGTTTTTCTTGTAACAAAAGTATAACCAAATATATGAACAAGTAAATAGTTCGTTAATAATAGCATTAATAAACATAAATTCATATTTTAGTGTGGCACAATCTGTAGTTAATTAAGAGTCTTAAAATTACCCTGCCAATAAAACGGTCAAATTACAATAGAATAAAGTGGTAATTAAGAAAAACAAAGTACGTAGCATCGAATCTTCCTCTCTCTGGCTAAACTAATTCAAAGTTTCAACTAGAGAGGAATTAATACGTACAAAGTAGTGTATTAATTTGGTTTAAAAAAAATAAGAGTGCTGTGTAGCTTTAAAAGATTTTAAAGCCAAAACTAATACGTGACTTTAAAAGAAAATTGAAAACAAAGAGTAAAAAAAAAAAGACTGCTGTGAAAGCTTTAAAAGATTTTAAAGGCAAAAAAATCTTGATTGGCAAAAAAAAACTTTGAAGATTTTTAAAATCTTTCTAAAGTCTTAAAAGCTTCTGTCAATCACCCCCGAAATCGTTAAAATATATATTATTTAATTTAGGAAGGTAGAATATCAGACCAAATATATTTTGTTTGGTATTTTTTTATAGTCAAATAAAAAAACTACAAATGTTTAAACTTACTTTTGTTAAAAAATTACATTTAAATTATATATATGGAAATATTTAATGTGAAATATTTTAAATATTTATAAGATGATATCATACCACATATGTACATAAAGATCAGTGAATGCAAGGTAAACACGCTCGCTCTGTGAACAGTTTAATATATAAACACCTAATTACATTTACTTAGATAGTTATAAAAAATCAATTCTATACGATGAAGAGGGTGGCATCTTACAATTACAAAATTGTGTGTATGGTCGTAATGACGTTGTTTGTGTACGGATATTCAGCCGCAGCCGAACAAATAGCTTACACCATAACTATTGATCTTAACGGTGGCGGAAATTTTACGACCGTCCAAAGTGCAATCGATTCAATCTCTCTTCCCAACCATAATTGGATTCGTGTCTTCATACAAAATGGAATTTACCGGTACTACTACGATATGATCTTTTGTAACATATATATATATTTCATGTATATATTACTTCACTTGTCACTTTTGAAATTTCGAGTAACATACAGTATAACGAAAAGTTTTATTTAAATATGTAAATGATCATTAATGAAAATGTAGGGAGAAAGTAACGATACCAAAAGAAAAAGGATTCATATATTTGCAAGGTAAAGGAATTGAACAAACGGTAATTGAGTACGATGATCATCAAGCCACCGATATCAGCGCAACGTTCACTGCTTTTGCTGATGATATCGTCATCTCCGGTATAACTTTCAAGGTATATATATATATCTATTTGTATGAAGATATGTGTCTTGATTTTCAAAAAAAAAAAAGTAAATAACTAAAAGATTTGAGTAATGAGTCTTAATTAATAAATTTACATCACTTGGAATGGAGAGTAGAACACGTACAATATTGTGCCAAATAACAAACGGGAGATTGTACCGGCGGTGGCGGCGAGGATGCTTGGAGATAGATATGTGGTGACCGATTCTAGTTTCGACGGACTTCAAGATACTTTATTTGACGGAAAAGGCAGACATTATTACAAGCGATGTATAATTTCTGGCGGGATCGATTTCATATTTGGTTATGGTCAATCACTATTCAAGGTATATATGTTACGAAATTTATGTTAATTTTCTATCACAAGAATTGACCATTATATAATATTTTATGTGTCATATTGATCAAAGGAATGTACATTGAATATGACGCTGGGGATATATGCACCGGATAACCCGTATGGAACGATAACTGCGCATCAAAGGCCGTCACCGTCAGATGAGGGAGGATTTGTGTTCAGTGACTGTACCGTTACGGGAGTCGGGAAAACGTTGTTGGGACGAGCATGGGGATCAAACGCACGTGTCATCTTCGACCGTTCACGATTATCCGACGTTGTTCTTCCTATTGGTTGGGATGCTTGGCGTGCAAAAGGCAACGAGTATGCGTGATCGATCATTTACGTACTGCATTAATTATACTTTGAACTAAACAAGTTCTGTTTAAACCTTGTCGTGTGGTGATGTAGGAGAGACTTAACGTTTGTGGAGGCTGGTTGCACCGGAGCTGGAGCGGACACGTCACAGAGAGTGCCGTGGCTTAAGAAGCTGAGTCTAAGTGAAGTTGATGGATTCGCCAGCGTTTCCTTCATTGACCAAGATGGTTGGATCTCTAGGTTCCCCATTGAGGGTGGGCCTTAACAATTCTATTTGACAAAGTTTGATATTGGGCTAGAAGCCCCATTAAGTAAACCTTTTATTATATTGGAGAAGTAAGAAAACCCATTAAGTAGACCTCTTTATTACATTGGGCTATAAGGCCCATTAATCTCATTAGTTTGAGCAAATACTGTAAATATAGGCCCCTTTTGTTCTTCTCAAAGTACACCATAAGTAAAAAAAAAAAAACCATGCGTATATGAATCGAAAAACCTTAATTTTCTGATTTACAAAAATTCCGACCAAATCTCTGTTTCCCTCTCTTTATCTCCTTTGTTGCGTACTGATTCTCTAAGCCGTGACGGTGTGCCAGTGTCTGTCCTTGTCTTATTATCACTGCCGCAGTTCCTATTCGTGCCCGCCAACTGTTCGTCAAATTGCCTGAACCAATTCTTCCGACAATCCTAAAAGTTTGGATTTTGGTGATTCTAAACACTAGGGTTTTATTCAAATTACTCAAGAATGGCTACTACTGCGAATGGAAACTCTAAGAAAAGAGATGGTGGTCTATCGTCGCTTGCCCCTCGCAAAATCAACGTGCAGAAATTCTCAGAGGCTCGAGCACCAGAGCTCGAATCTCTTCACTCCATTGTGTCTGAGCGTTTGAACAAGGACTTTCGATCAAAGAGGAATAAGAGGAGAAGGACCAATTCTTACAATAATCAACCTGCGAAGAAGCGTAATATAAAGAGGCAAAAATCACAGTCATTGATTGGTCAAGTATCAGGAGGAGACCATGAAGTAAAGATCACTAGACGAGTTAAGAGAAGAATGGAACTTAAAGGGAACCCTGAAACTGGGTTTTGTACTTCTGGTGATGGAACTAAGAGGCTGAGAACACATGTTTGGCACGCTAAACGATTCACTATGACTAAGCTTTGGGGTTTTCACCTTCCTCTTGGTTTACACGGAAGGTAAATTTCAAATTTGCAGTGTTTTTGATTCTGATAGGTTACAAAAAAGTTAAGAGTCTTTTGAAATCTTAAGGTTGTTTTTGTCATGGTTCTAGAGGAAGGGGATCTAGGGATGTCTTGAAGCAGTCTCGGCAAGGTGTTCTTGTTCATGATGCAAGCTATCACATTGCTGTGCAATTGGAGGGTCCAGAGGCAGGCATTCACACTTATTCTTGATATCCTTCTATAAGTTTTTTTCAACTTGGTTGTGTGTTCATATTTTCTTCATGTCTTTTGGCTTTGAATTTCTCAGGGCTCACTCTTATCGATATTAAATATGCTACTAGAGCCTTCTCCGTCATCTCATTCCAAGGAAGTTTTCGACTCTATTCTCACTGGCGGTAGTTATGAAAACGCCATGGTATAGTGAATTTATGAATTCATTTAATAGGAATCAAGACGATAACTTTAGAATGATGTAACCGCAAGTTGTTTGTTTTCTTCAGCTTTATCATGTCGAACCACCAGTTTCTCAGGCGATTGCTCCTGTTACTTATATGTGGAGACCTTCTAAGATACCAAAGAGAAGAAATGAGGAGAAAGGGGGTGACGGCATAGGAACTGATCTCCCAGTCTCAGATAAAGATCATGAAGACTTTCGTAAACTTTGGGTGTGGATCCATGCTTCTTCCTTCAGTGAAGGATATGCTATTCTTAAAGTAGCTTGTCAGAAACAGGTAGCTATTTGTTGTCTTTTGAGGTTATTTTTGTGACGTTTGTTGTTAGCTATATGCTTTACATATTCTTGTGGAGATAATGACACCTCAAGTTCCTTCATTCAGATGAATGAGACAGGTGTCTCAGTTGATTGCTTTTCACTCGAGGGTCAGCTTGCAAAACTTGAGATTTTTGGTTCAAAAGCATCTCATCTTCTCCAGAAGACCTTACATCCTGCTACAAGGTGAGCCATCTGAGTAAATATAGAATGATTTTCAAGAACGCAAATGAACAAAGGAAAATTTA